TAAAAGGGGAAATAGACCAAAAGGAAAAAACAATTATCAACCTATATGCACCCAATGTCAACGTACCCAATTTCATCAAACATACCCAAAGGGCCTAAAAGCATATATTAAACTCCAACACAGTGGTCATGGGAGACTTTAACACCCCATTATCATCATTAGATAGGTCATCCAAACAAAAAATTAATAAAGAAATCTTAGATCTAAAATATAAAATAGATCAAATGGACCTAGTTGATGTCCACAGAACATTTCATCCAACTTCTACACAATATACATTCTTCTCAGCAGCCCATGGAACCTTCTCCAAAATAGATCATATCCTAGGCACAAAGCAAACCTCAGCAAATATAAGAAAACAGAAATTATACCATGCATTCTATCTGATCACAATGCAATAAAACTAGAACTCAACAAAAGTAAAGACAAAAAACATGCAAACAGCTGGAAACAGATAACTCATTGCTTAATGAACAATGGGTCACTGATGAAATAAAACAGGAAATTAAAAAGTTCCTGGAAGTCAATGAAAATGAAAACACAACCTATTGGAACCTATGGGACACAACAAAGGCAGTCCTGAGAGGAAAGTTTATAGCCATGAGTGCATATATTAAAAAGACTGAAAGATCCCAAAACAATGACCTAATGATACATCTCAAACTCCTAGAAAAACAAGAACAAGCAAATCCCAAAACAAATAGAAGGAGAGAAATAATAAAAATAAGAGCTGAAATCAATGAAATAGAAACAACAACAAAAAAACCACACAAAGAATTAATGAAATAAAAAGTCAGTTCTTTCAAAAAAGAAGATTGACAGACCCCTGGCAAACCTGACTAAAATGAGGAGAGAAAAAAACCAAATTAGTAGAATAAGGAATGCAAAAGGGGAGATAACAACAAACAACATGAAAGTCCAGGAAATCATCAGAGACTACTTCGAGAACCTATATTCAAATAAATTTGAAAATTTTAAAGAAATGGACAGATTTCTAGATACATATGATCATCCAAAACTGAACCAAGAGGAAATTAATCACCTGAATAGATCTATAATACAAAATGAAATTGAAGCAGCAATCAAGAGTCTCCCAAAAAAAAAGTCCAGGACCTGATGGATTCTCTGCTGAATTCTATCAGACCTTTAAAAAGAACTAACCAACCCTCCTTAAACTGTTCCATGAAATAAAGGGAAGGAAAACTGCCTAACACATTTTATGAAGCCAGTGTTACACTTATCCCAAACCAGGCAAAGACACCTCCAAAAAGGAGAACTATAGGCCAATCTCCTTAATGAACATTGATGCAAAAATCCTCAATAAAATAATGGCAAACTGAATTCAACAACACATAAAAAGATTATTCACCACGACCAAGTAGGCTTCATCCCAGGGATGCAGGGGTGGTTCAACATATGAAAATCAATAAACGTAATAAACCACATTAACAGAAGCAAAGACAAAAACCACTTGATCATCTCAATAGATGCAGAAAAAGCCTTTGATAAGATCCAACACCATTTCATGATAAAAGCTCTAAGAAAACTAGGAATAGAAGGAAAGTACCTCAACATTATAAAAGCTATATATGACAAACCTACAGCCAGCATTATACTTAAGGGAGAAAAACTGAAACCATTCCCTCTAAAATCAGGAACTAGACAAGGATGCCCACTATTTCCACTCCTATTCAACATAGGACTGGAATTCCAAGCCAGAGCAATTAGGCAAGAAGGAATAAAAGGAATATAAATAGGTAAGAAACTGTCAAAATATCCCTATTTGCAGATGATATGATCCTATACCTTAAAGACCCAAAAAACTCTACTCAAAAGCTTCTAGACACCATCAATAGCTATAGCAAGGTAGCAGGATATAAAATCAACATAGAAAAATCATTAGCATTTCTATACACTAACAATGAACAAACTGAGAAAGAATATATGAAAACAATTCCATTTACAATAGCCTCAAAAAAAAGTCAAATACCTAGGTGTAAACCTAACAAAAGATGTGAAAGACCTCTACAAGGAAAACTATAAACTTCTGAAGAAAGAGATTGAGGAAGACTATAGAAAGTGGAGAGATCTCCCATGCTCATGGATTGGTAGAATCAACATAGTAAAAATGTCTATACTCCCAAAAGCAATCTACATGTTTAATGCAATTCCCATCAAAATTCCAATGACATTCATTAAAGAGATTGAAAAATCTACCATTAAAATTATTTGGAAACTTGGCCATGAATAGCCAAGGCTATAATACTCAGTTAAAAGAACAATGCTGGAGGTATCATGATACCCAACTTCAAACTATATTACAAAGCTAACAATAAAAACAGCACGGTACTGGCACAAAAACAGACATGAAGACCAGTGGAACAGAACAGAGGACCCAGATATGAAGCCACACAACTATAACCAACTTGTCTTTGACAAAGGCGCTAAAAATATATGATGGAGAAAAGACAGCCTCTTCAGCAAAAACTGCTGGGAAAACTGGTTAAAAGTCTGCAAAAAACTGAAACTAGATTAATGTATATCACCCTATACTAATATTAACTCAAAATGGATCAAGGATCTTAATATCAGACCACAAACTCTAAAGCTGGTATAGGAAAGAGTAGGAAATACTCTGGAATTAATAGGTGTAGGTAAGAACTTTCTCAATGGAACCCCAGCAGCACAGCAACTAAGAGATAGCAAAGATAAATGGGACTTCATAAAACTAAAAAGCTTCTGCTCAACAAAAGAAATGGTCTCTAAACTGAAGAGACCACCCAGAGTGGGAGAAAATATTTGCCAGCTACACATCAGACAAAAGACTGATAACCAGAATATATAGGGAACTTAAAAAACTAAATTCTCCCAAAACTAATGAACCAATAAAGAAATTCAAATGAATTTCTTCAAAAGAAGAAATTCAAATGGCCAAAAAACACATGAAAAAATGCTCACCACCTCTAGCAATAAAGGAAATGTAAATTAAAACCACGCTAAGATTCCACCTCACCCGTTAGAATAGCCATCATTAGCAAAACCACTAACAAACAACAGGTGTTGATGAGGATGTGGGGAAAAAGGAACCCTCTTACACTGTTGGTGGGAATGTAAACTAGTACAACCACTCTGGTAAAAAATTTGGAGGCTACTTAAAAAGCTAAACATTGATCTACCATTTGATCCAGCAATACCACTCTTGGGGATATACCCAAAGACTGTGAAACAGGTTACTCCAGAGGCACCTGCACACCCATGTTTATTGCGGCAGTATTCACAATAGCCAAGTTATGGAAACAGCCAAGATGCCCCACTACTGATAAATAGATTAAGAAAATGTATTTATACACAATGGAATTTTATGCAGCCATGAAGAACGAAATGTTATCATTTGCTGGTAAATGGATGGAATTGGAGAACATCATTCTGAGTGAGGTTAGCCTGGCCCAAAACACCAAAAATCGTATGTTCTCCCTCATATGTGGACATTAGATCAAGGGCAAACACAACAAGGGGATTGGACTTTGAGCACATGATAAAAGCGAGAGCACACAAGGGAGGGGTGAGGATAGGTAAGACACCTAAAAAATTAGCTAGCATTTGTTGCCCTTAACGCAGAGAAGCTAATCAGTTACCTTAAAAGCAACTGAGGCCAACAGAAAAAGGGGACCAGGAACTAGAGAAAAGGTTAGATCAAAAAGAATTAACCTAGAAGGTAACACCCATGCACAGGAAATCAATGTGAGTCAATGCCCTGTATAGCTATCCTTATCTCAACCAGCAAAAACCCTTGTTCCTTCCTATTATTGCTTATACTCTCTCTACAACAAAATTAGAAATAAGGGCAAAATAGTTTCTACTGGGTATTGAGGGGTGGGGTGGAGAGGGAGGGGGCGGAGTGGGTGGTAAGGGAGGGGGTGGGGGCAGGGGGGAGAAATGACCCAAGCCTTGTGTGCACATATGAACAATAAAACAATAAAAAATATTTTGAGGGAGGAAGTATTCTGAAAATTGTGGCTTAAAAATTGCCATTTGTCAGTCCCACATTGGGGTAAATGTCAGTAAGAATTGAAAACAGTCTTTGAGAGGTATACCCACACCCATGGTTCACAGCAGCTTACTCACAATAATCCTGAAGTAGAAGCAGCTCAAATATTCACTGATGGATGGGTGAATACATACATACATACATACAATGGCACAGAATGCAGCCTTAAAAAGAAAATTATGTCACACGATTCAACACGGATGAGCCTGGAGAATATTATTAAGCAAAACAAACCAGTCACAAGAAGACAAATACTGTATGATTTCACTTGTAGGAGGTATCTAAAATAGTTAATTCATAAAAATAGAAGTAGACTGGTATTTATAGTCACTGGGGGAAGAAGAGGATGTGACAGTTATTTGTTTGGTTCTGCAAGATGAGAAAAGTTCTGGAGATCTGTTTTATAACAACATAATGTTCTGAACTGTACACTTAAAAGGGTAACTCTTTTTAAAAGGTAAATTTTGTACCGTTTTATATACAGACCTTTAATGGAGATGGGGTAATACAGATACGTATATTGTGTATGTAGAATTTACCCCCTATATTGTAATTTCCCTTTAAACCATAGACACAAGAATACCTCTTCCAAGCTTAGCATTTATTAAACACACAAAGTACTTAGGATCCTAAATTATGGCTATTAGTAAGGGAGGAATGACCACTGTACAAACTAAAAGCAAATACATTACTCTGTCTCCTGTTTTATCTTTGTGATTATCTGATTAATGTCTGTCTTCTCTCATAAAGCAGACAGTTAAGCTCCAGGACCTAGTTTTGTTCACCATTATATCTCCAGGGCCTAGGACAATGCCTGGAAAACAGTACTGAAATATTTACTGAGTGGATGGTATGCATTAAACACTTAAGAAGTTAAATGTGACACTTACGTACCACAGGTCTATAATCACCAAACTCAAGTGTAATGGGATATATCATAAAGGAGGCAGAATCAACTTTCAAAAAACTAATTTTAATCAAACAAAAATTGTTGATCATTAACAAGTTTATAAAACAGTGATTTAGTTACATAAATAAATTGATATCAGTGTATCAAATCTTAATTACTTTCAACTTCATGAGCATGTTTACATGAGTGATGAAGTACAACTTTTTTTTCTTTTTAGCTATTATAATAAATAAAATGGAGCGCATGAAATAGTTCTTCTAAACAAAAATACCTACAAACATACCTCTAGCATGTTCTCTAATGAAGGGAACAAGAGACACTGGACAACTTTGCACCAAAACATAAAAATTGCTTTAAAAAGCACAAGGTTACAGAACCATCAGCTAAAGTAAAGACACTATACTGTAACCAAAGTTGGTATTTTAATAATATAATGAACAGTTTGGTAGTTAGATCTCCAGTTTGGTTATTTTAAAGCATTAAGACAAGGCAAGATAGAAGGCTGCTTTTGTTTGAGTAATTCTAGAGAAAATAAAATATATTTAAAAAAAAAAAAGAAAGAAAACTGAAAAGTAGAACAGTCATACCTACACAACTTTCTGTCCTGCACAAAGTCAAAATACCTATGCAGAATAGATATATAATATATATAATGTTATTTGTGCACAAAGGTTAGCTTATTATTAGCTCACTGCAAAGGCGTAATGTATCATATGTCAATTGTTTTTGGAAAATGTTTTGCTTTCAGTGTCAAAAGGATATTTCTTTTAAGTTTCCTAGGCTAAGAGGCACGAACCCCAATTTCGGCATACTGTATATTCTTAATGCTAAGGCTTGCTGCTCTGGCTGTGTATTTTGTTGTCCCTCTTTATTCTAGTGCCTGTTACAAGCATGTGTGGTGTAGTGGTTGTTGTTGATGTGTGTGTCTGTGTGTATACATATATATATGTATACAGAAGTTGTATAAATATATATACATATATAATTTCCTCCCAATAGATCTCAGTCCAACCATGCAATCCAGAAGGTGGCTCTGCATAGATGCCCAGCATGAAGTTCACCGCCTGAGCCAACCCTGAAGCAAGGCGCACTTTTAGTCCTTCTGATAGGTTTTCTCTCAGTTTTTTGTTTTTGTTTAAAACCAAGCTACTGCAGCTTCAAGTATTTTGCATTACATAGAATATTTTTTATAAATTAGTTAATGTTATATTTTTCAATATTCAGACATATACTATAATATATATACAGTACAATAAATGCTCTCATTCTTTTTTTTTTTTAATTTTTTTGGATAAATCCCTGAGAATGTATGTTGACAGTCGCTAAGTTTCCACATGCACAAGCATCGTGTGCCATGCTTCTGGACGAACAGCACTGCAAAGCCACATGGGTCAGCCTTTTCACTACTAGTATTTCATTTTGTTGGTTTGTTTAAATATGCTGAAAATGTAAAGATGAGTTACAAAGGAGTAAAGCTGAATCCATTCGAGGTACTTATCACAGGATGGAGGTGTTTTGTTTGGTTTTTAAAGCCATTTCAATTATTTTTTTGAGGCTGTGAACGTATACAGAAAACAGGAGAGCTATGTGGACTTTCGCCACTTGACAACATATACTCAGTGTAAACCAAACCTTTTTAACCTCTCTCATACAAAACCAATTAAAAAAAAAAAGGAATTTAAAAAAAAAAAACAGAAAGAAAGAAAAAGGGAGAAACTTAAAAACACACAAACTTTCACAACATGACGATTTAGTTTGCAAACGCAATATAACTATACACATATAATACCGGTGTGGCTCTGTTCTTTAAGTTAAAAAGGGTACAAAGGCAGGCTCAAGTAAAAACAAACCATCCCTCCCATCCCTACCCCCCACCCCATTCATACAAGTTCTATCAACCAAACCTCTCCCGAACCAACATCATCAGTTTCTTTTTGCCTTTGTAGATTTGTTTCAGGTTGTCAATAAACTGTGTAAACTGAATGTGTCCATCATGCGCCATTAGGAAGGTCTCTCGGGCCTTGCTGAGGAACTCTATAAACTCACTATAGTGCCGAGGACTGATGTGTGTGAGTCGTGAGTGTGTTGTGTTGATGTAGGCCCCAATCGTGGCATCCAAGAGCTGTCTCAAGGGGGCTTTGTCCAGTGACATGAGCTTACCAGAGTTCCTCCTTCCATGAAGTCCCACCATGCCAGGAGTGGTCAGAGTGCATCTGCGCAAAATGTCTGACAGTACCGTTGCACACTTGACACTCTTAACCACCAGAGGTATTATAGCTGCAAGCTCATTCTTACCCAGGGAGTGGCTAAGCGCACAGGCCCACAAAACGTCATTAATGGCAGGGTGTGTGTCCTGATTGTAGCTCAGGTTGAGATGGGTCATGGCCAGGGTGGCCAGCTTGTAGGCTCTCATGGGGTACCCGCGGTGCTCCATGTACCGTGCTATTGTAAAGAGCTGTGTGTAGCTCATGCCGGTGGTAGCAGCATCGAGGACAATTTGGTATGCCGTCTCAAAAGCTATGTGATCCTTCTCACAGAGGGTAAGTGCAGAGAGGGCACAGTTCTGTGGGTCCTTCATGGCGCACTGCAACGCGAGCGTCCGGGCACTGCTGGCCAGCTTTTCCTGCTGGTGGCAGTCAAGATGGAGGCGGACAATGGTGCTGTTGGACATCACAGTAGTTGCAACAATACTTGTGGCCTCGGTGGGAGTAAAGAGTGTAAACCAGCTCTGCATGATGCTGTCCAGGGCATAAACACCTGCAAGGAACACAATCCAGTCCTGTTACCAACAAAGAGGCTAGCCCCAGGTCTTAGTTCCACATTTATAATCAGTATTTACACTGTTAACCATCCTAGGATGTGAGCTAGGCCAGAAACCCTGAAGATAATGTGCCTAGGAACAACCTTGTAGAATAAGGTTATTATGGATTGTTACTCACTGAAATGCCTGAAAGGAACATGAACTTCCTATAATAAAGAAGCAATCCTCTTGGTAGCTGGTATTTGTTCTATGCTGCTTGCCATTTCAGACAATGGCTTCTTGCTAATGAGTGTTAGCTCACTGGGGCTTCCTGTCAGTTACCCACTACAGAATTTGAGACAGAAAAAGTACAACCCTCACTCAAACAAGGACTTTATATATATATGGTGTGTTTGTGTCTAAGTTCAAAAAAATTTAAGACACATAAAGAAGTAAGAAAATATTACCTGTAATCAAGAGAAAAAGAGTCAATACAAGTGGACTAATAGATGACTCAGATGTTGGAAATGGCTAGTAAAATTCTTAACCGTTTTAAGTACACAGATTCCATATGCCTCACCTGTAGGAAAAGTCTGAAAGTGAAGGTACTAAGTCTCAGAGAGAAATTAGATGTATATCCTGGTGCACATACAGCAGCTATGTGGCATCTTAAACCTACACTACTTTGTATTGCTTCAGTAATGTATGACTTCAATAACCAAACATTTTTATATTGAGGCCAAGATCCCTCACCCCCAAATAACTGTTACACATGAATAAAAGAAAAGTGATTTTACAGTATCTGTTGTGTCAGTATCTAGACACTGAGATGGCAGTGTCTTCTCAGCAAGAGGTGTATATCCTTTTTTGATGCAAAACAGGAAGACAGTTTAACCAACACTTCGTTTAAATAGCCACCACTGTGTCTGCATCCTTACTAAGAATATGTAGTTTCTTAGTCCTGATCTACTGCTGAAGAGGGGAAACAGGACGCAGCTGATGGGCAGGCAGGGGATTCACATATGGCCAGCTACAATTTCTCACGCAGCTGAAAGCCCACTGAAACCAGTACCTAGTGATCAGCTTTCCTCTGCTGGATACTCAGAAGGAGAAAAAAACACAACAGTATAGAGGTAACTTTATAGGAACTGAGTAAAAGGTGGTTAGTACTGATCTATTCCATTTTAAATAAGAGGTTGGAGCCTCACAATGTGATACTTTAGAAACTGAAGAATGAAAAGTGTGCAAAACTGAAGGTTGCGGCTAGGGGTAGGGGAAGAGAGTCTCTACAGTCACTAGAAGGAGCAGGAGTCTTGGAGAAGTCAAGGTAACAGAGTAGACATGTTCTTAAATCTGTAAATAGTACCATGAGGCACCTTGAAAAGCTTCTCCTCCAGAGTTTACCTACCAACTTCAGTAGCACACGTCACCAGCCACCTCACCATCTCTCGCCTTCGCCAATTTAAGGTTGACAGTGTCATTCGCATAACCTATACAAAGGCAGGATAGCATGTGTTGGAAGATTATTCTAAGTCTACAGAAAAAGAAAACAGTTCATTCCAAGGTATAAACTACCAGGCAGAGTCTCTATTACCCAAGGGATGAAAAGCACACTATTTAGATCAAAGATTTACTTATGTATTTGGGTATGTCCATAGTCCCATCTGGCCTTGCCATCACCTGGGATGCAGGAGGCCCACATTCTAGTCCTGGTGGACCTACTAACCAGATGTGGCATCCTGGACAAGTCATCCAATGTCTTTTCTCATCAGAAAAATCAGATGACTATAGTGGAGCATTAAACACAGTTCAAGCCCTCTTCTCCCCAGCTTTAACATTCCAAGGTTCAGTTTCTGGGGTTCCTTGTGAATTAATTCCAAGAACTCTCAGCAGGTAAAGAAGTATTTTACAATAATAATTGTAATTATTCCTACAATCTCTGCTCCTTTCTGGTGACTATGAAGATTACCCAGGTCTATGGAAAGAAATCATTTTTGATCATCTATCTAGTGATCTGATGTTTTTACTTTATGATAAGAAGTTCCAAGATAAACTTATCTACCTTTTTCCACTTCATTTTTTAAGATTCAAAACATCTAGGGACATGACACTCTGAAAGCTTTAGAAAGGCTCTGTAAGATTCCTTCTTAGGTTCTAGAAGTAACTAGACAGAAAGGAAGCTTTCACTAAACTGTCATTTACACAGAATTCCAAATAACCAGAAACCTCACATTGATGTTTCTTTCTGATTAAGCAATCTTTCAGATGAGACATATGATAATAAAAATAAGCCAAATAACAAGAATTTATATTTAAGAAGAAATTTGTAAGTTGTTACTGTGTAATTTAAAAGTAATCTTCTGTAACCTCTGCTTGTACAGTACTTCATGTTACAGGACATTTGTCTCTGGTCCAATTCTTTAATTTTATGAATATAATCACTGTAATAACTAAAAAACTAGATTAATCATCTAACCATGGCATTCTATTTCCCATATTTTAAGTAATTAGGGTATAACAAATCTCTTTCACTGCTCTTTAATGACAGAAAAGAAACCAAAAAACAAATGTTAAGAGATTTCATGGAAAAAGTAGAAACAAACTTTTCAGTTCCTGGTTTACACAGTAATCTGTCTAGAAACTATAAGGAAGCAAATGTCTACCTGCATGACTAACCCAAAATGTCCTTTTATTGCGTCCTGCTAAAATCTGAAGCTGGACCCTAGTCCAATCACCTGTCCTTTACTCTCAGGGTTATAAAAGAAGATAGAATTCCCTAATGCAAACATCAATAAAAACTCATACTTCCTCTAAAAATTTAACCCTCACAACTGTATCTTTATTATACATATTTTTACTCAAATCTCTTGCTAGCAATAATCCTCCATTCATTGAAAGGAGAAACAGTGATGCTAAGGTTGTAATTCAGAAAATCATTTTTAAAATTGAGAAACATGAATAAGGCTTCTGAATGTACAGTCCCTGTACCTCAGGAAGCAGTATGGATGAGCTGAAAGTGAACACACGCCTGAAGTGTAACAGATTTGGGCTCTGAAGAATCATTTACCTATACTAAAAAATTAAAACAAACACAACCCTAAGAGGTACCATTAATTAGCAGGGTTTGATGCCCTAGAAAACACCACCAAACATGTACCTGCAGGCCCAGCTCCAGAGATACTTTCAAAAGAGTGATATCTGGCAAACTGTCCATGAGAGTTGCTATTTTAAATGCATCTTGGGCAAGTTTGAAGATGTGTGATGAGGAGTGAATATTTTTCTGGATGGATTCTAATACTGTTTCCAGCCTCCGAACATCGCCTGCATTGAACAAAGGAAAAATCAAACCACATCAAATCAAATGTAAGCAAAGCAAAATAAACAATAAAACCCCTAAACACACACACACACACACACACACACACACACACACACACACACACACACACATATAAGATAAAGACGGAGAAAGGATAAAAGGACACAAACCATAAAACACAAGTTAATTTACCTGACCAAGGGCAGAGATGTTACAACTAAGTGTCTCAGTTACTGCAATGTCTATGAATCTCAGCTTCACAAAAAGATCCGTCGAGATACACCCTCAATGACTAAGAGCACATATGAACTTGAACCAACATGAGATAACAAATAGCTCTCCCAGTTTCTACTTATGTATTCTGGTGACTATTTCAAGGATAACAATAAACAACAAAAGTAACCGAACCTTTTGATCTATTTCTAAATTTGAATCATTTACCTTTCTTTGACATAGTAACTAACCTCAATTCTCCCAGCAGCAAATATTGTGATACAGGTAAATAAAGAAAATGCCAGGCTCAAATGAGTAGCACTTCTTTTGCCTCAAGCGCAAAACATGAAACTAACATCTAAAGAAAAGGATGCCTTACAACTTATCTGACATAACACCACTATTGAGATTAAGATTTTTAAAAAAAATGACTCTTGGGGGCGAGGGAGGCAAACAACAAACCAACAACAAGGCTTTGGGACATTATAATACCTTTGGCACATTATAATACCTTTGGCTGCAGTTAGCATGGTAGATGCCAGCTCACACTGCTGGGATTCAATGTGGCTTAGTGTGAACCAGCGAGGGTATCGGTTAGGAACAACTGACGCGATGTGGTGTGGGCGGGTGAGGTCCCCTGTTGGAGCAGTAGATTCCAATACTAGCAACCTGTAATGAGAAGATAAGGAAGGTGACCTCTAGTTATTACTTGTTCATTACTTTGGGCAAAATGGCCAGCAGAAACCAAAAGAGTGGCTAAATGCTGAAGCAAACTGTGCAGGACCCTGGTTAAGGAACCAGAGTGAGCTGGTACAGCTAACTTTTGCTGTCTGGATGTCATTCATCTTAACTGCTCATTGCTCAAACCTAAGAAAGAGATTTCCTTTATTTAGCATTATTCAGAAAATTGCAAAATTCAAGGAACTTAAGACATGCAACACTGAAAACAAGACTTAATGTTTACCTACCATCATTAAATATTATTGCGCATTAAAAATAAAAAAAACAGAAACTGACAGTAAAATGAAGATTTAAGACTGAGATTACAATAGTCAGGGACCATTACATGAAAAAGCTTACCCTATTAAAATATAAAATAAGAGGGAGAGTAAAACAAAAATGGCCTCCTTTTCACACATTCATAATTTCTACAGGATTTTAGTTTCTGTGACTTCAGGAATCTGAAGTTAGAATATATTCTATCTGTTCTAACAATCATCTAAGATGAACACAATTGAACTAAGTTATTTGTCTCTGACAAATTTGCATAAATTTAGTGTGATTTCTGATTTTAGTCTTTAAGAATATGTTGACAAATAAATAATTCTTGAAAACAAAGCACATGCTTAGTGACATCTTCTAAATATTAAGTATCAAAGAGATCAGTAGAGAAGCTACAACCGAAATAATTCCTTTACAATAATCAAAACAATGGTCTTTCATTCAAGTCCGCTAGTTTTAGGAACTATGGAATAAGAGCTGGGGACTGAAAGTTAGCAGGCTCAGGGAGTGATGCTGGCCTTTCAGGTCTAGCCAAGAGCAGTTATTTCTCAGGTAAGCCAAACGGCTCACCTTTTCATCTAGGGACAAAGAAATGTTGGCATTAGAAAGGGTGGCAAGGTAGACAATAAATAATAAGAACTTTGGCAAGGTTGCTACTGACCTTTTTAAAAACTCTGTATTCACAGACAGATCTTGCCAGATCTGTCTTGCCAGAGTTGATATAGAGAAAAATAGTTTACAGTCCAGGGAAAATGAGAAAATGAATGCTGAAGATACCTTTCCTTAGTCTCTTTCCAGAAGAACTAAGAAGCAAGCAAGCAAAATCTCTCTTTTCCCTCTTGTTCCCCTGGCTGCCTTGAAATGCTCCAGTAGGTTACATTATGTAACCTTGGCCACAGCAGGGCTTTGGCTAGGGTAGCAGTAAAAGGACAAAAGAAAGATGGAAAACAATTCCCCTGTACCCTGCTTCTATTCCCCACAAAGAAACTGCCTGGGCAGCAATCACAGGAAAATATAAACATGCTGCCAAGTATTCAGTAGAACAACAAACTTTTCTGCCTGGCAGATACTGCTACATAAGCCAGAACCATACAGAAACCTGATGCTATTTTACCCTTAAACTTTATAGTGGTAGTAGCAACAACATTTGGTAGCATCATAACATTAATGTACTTCCCTTTAAAACAAGAGTAGAACTTTCAGGATTAAAGTAAGTTTAGAGATGAGCATCTATCTTTGTAATACAACTTCTATTTAGCTTCCGAAAATGGGAATAGGGATCTACTTATAAAAATGTGCTCTAAAATACAAACCATGTGGTATAAAGCCATTTGAATGGGAACTGTTGATTCTATCAATTCTTGATTTTTTTTGATACTGTAAAAACAAGACAAGAGAGTACTTAAAGGTTTCTCTAGTAAGTTACAGTAGACCCTTGGTATCTGTGGGTATACAGTTCCAAAGAGACTGCAGCTGAAGAAAACCCGCAAATGCTCAGGATGCATAGTGTTGAGTTCTGTGCTGTATTGTGGATGCTCTATTCATTTTTCCCAAAATGTTGCCCAATTTCCGCTAAAGACGTGTCACCTTTAAAAATCTAAGAATTTCAATTTATCACTTAAATTAAGCACATTAACACCTTGCTTTTTGGAAGACACATTTCCAAAAAATTAAGGGCAGAGAAATGTTAGCAAGGTCACCCAATAATCTGAACACAACTGATAATATCATGGGACTGACTGACCGCTTTTCCACACCAACTGAGCTGCATAATGAGTGCAGGAGAACTTAAAATTTTCAGTTTTGAAATTTTTTTATTTAAAAAATTTGTTTATTTTTACTGAACTTCCTCAAAACTGTGTGTAATAAATCTACAAATAAGGTAGATATAATGAGATTCATGTGGCCAAGGAGAGCACATGAAATTAAAGGCTATCTTAGCCTGAAAACACACTGACACAAGGGTGTATGTACACACAAACACAGCCACCCCATCACTATATAAATAGAAGACAAATATGGGCTACACTCGATATTTTAAAAACATTAACTCTGGGAACACTGATGGTTTTTAGGCAAGGATTTGTTTTTGAGTCTTACATTGATTACAAATGAAAACCTTCTGATGGAATCAAACTATTCCTCATGATACTTAAACTTTTAGATCTACCCAGGGCTTGTCTTTAGTTAACTATAATAGTGTCTAATCTTTACTTTCCACTAGAAACTTAAGAGTGTTTTTACCAATTTTTAAAAAAGGAAAAGAAGAAAAGGTCAATTTATTTTTTAAAAGGCACATATGCCTTTTAGGTTCTTACAGTTTGGATACATACAAGATTTAAAAATATAATCTTAAGTTAATTGAAAAGTATTCACCTTGAACAAATTCACAAAAAAACTTGGTGAATTAACTTTAAAAGGGAATGTGAGAATGAGAGAGTAAATGGCAGAGAACAAACGTATTCTAGTTGTTATAAGTAGAAAGGAGGAATTGAGGAGATGGAAGTAGTCAGACAAGGTAAGTAGACCCTGGAGGATCCCCAACAAGGTTTCCTTCAACATCAGACACACATTCATTTTTTCTTGGCTTCCTATTGATTACAAATGTCCTGGTGATACAGGAGCCTATTTTCACTGGTGGTGGAACATGGAATTACAATGGGTATGAAGGTCTTCCTCAATTATTACATTCAGGCAAACTTATTTATCATTTATCAAGATTTTGAAAACCTAATTCTTTCAAAACAATCTATTCAGGAAGGCTGTCTTCTGATTAAATTGTACTCAATTCTCAAATTCTACCTTTAATAAAAAGTAGGGAAAAGCCAGGATGGGCTTGATATGATGGTAGTTAAGGAAAACAGTTCTTTCCCTACTTTAAAACAAGATCAAAACAACTCAACAAACCAATCACCTCCATGATCCAGGAAGCATAAATAAAATAGTATCTTTTGCTTTTCTGCTTCCTGCAAAACATGTATGAATGCGAAGTCAGTTAACAGCCATTTCTCCCAGTGGGGAATTTGGATTGCCTCTGCCCAGCTGGGCTGTGAATACGTACCGCATTGCTCTCAGTGCAATTTTGTATGCCAATTCAGCATCATGAGGTAGGAGAGAGGTGAAGAGATACTTGGCAAATGTGTGCATTGGAACGCTCTCCCGATGGATTATTTCGCCTAAACCACTATATGGTCCGGCTGTGGGAAGAGAATATATACGTTTGACATTCTTAAAAAATGAACTAATACTTAATTCTTATAAGGTATATTTAAATTTTTAATGTAAAGTTATGGTATACATAAGCCAATCTAGTTAAGAATTTAACTACGTAATAGTAGAAAGGAATAAAATTTTTGTCAAAAAGATTCTACAGGTTTTATATAGTATCCTGTACAGACTTCATTTCATGAACAATTCTCCCAACTGTTCCACAGCTACAATGAGAACCACTGAGCTAAGTAAGGGGCACAACCCACTTACAATACAGGTGTTCAGAGAAACAAGTCCTCCAAAACATGAAACCCTGGTTGAAGATGAGGAACATCCTTTCTCAATGTGTGACAATTGAGCATCCACGTATGTAAATGTACAGATGACTACTTAACTACAGAACCTATCCCTTATGGAAACTTAAGTCCACAGATATGCCAGCTTTCCAGAAAACAAGAGATGTGGGAGGACTCTGAACCATCACTCTCGACATAAAGACTTTATACACATTGCTTCTAATAAGCAGAAGGAGATATTAATCCCACAAAGTGAATAATGACAAATTACCCAGACAAAAGACAAAAGAAAAACATTAAAATAACTGAAATCTACTACCCTTTGGTCTCTGGAAGGCCAATTTTAAAGGCAAAATTACATTTGAGCTGTCAAAATTAATTTCTTAGCAAATTCTGACAGGTATAGTGGCAGGGCTGACTTCTCCTGTGTGAATGCTGCTCTGAGAAGGAAACAAAGACTTTTAAAATAAAATTTGAAAGGAAACCACAGTGGTTACTTAATTCAACCACTTTGTACCTAGGTTCTGTAAGGTTTAGTTACTGTAAAATGTTTAATAAATTAAGTTTCCATGTCATCTTTGGGTAACATCCGTTTCAAGATTTCTAGAACTATGAACCATGACACTACTGCTCTAGAGGACATAATACATTTACTTTCCATAAGAAAAAGCAGTCTGGCGAAGAGTTAAGAATGCAAGAAATACAGTTTAGAAGAAATGCTGAGAGGAATTACTGAACTGAGTATTAGGTAAGAATATGATATATTCTAGACCACTTGGAAGTTATTCTGTAACTCAATTTTTTGGTTAGTATTTTTTAATTACTATTTAAGTACTTTGAAAAATAATATAAAACAACTTTTTTTTTCACCTAAACAAACTAAAATCCACCCTAAATTTCTAATTTTATCAAATCCATTAATCTTTTTCTTTTCTTTTAAAAAATTAAAAAAAGTTTTAATTGTTCTTCAAAAGTTGATATAGCATTTGTATTTACATTTTTCATTCACGTAGCAAGCTATATGCTTAAGTTACTAAGTGTGATGGACTAATGTATATGCATTTCCCCAACTCATATGTTGAAGTCCCAAACCCCATTGTGTCCGTATTTAGAGACTTTATGAAAGTAATTACATTTAAATGAGGTCAAAAGAGCAGGGCACTAATCCAACTGAATGAGTGCCTTTGTAAGAAGAGATACCAGAAAGCTTGCTCTATTTTCTCTCTGTCATGTGAAGATAGAGGGAGAAGGTGACTGCCTTCAGGCCAGTAGCATAGCCCTTGACCTTGGATTTTAGTTTCTAAAAGGTGAGAAATACCTTTCTGTTGTTTAAGCCACCCAGGCTACTGTATTTTGTTACAGCAGCAAGAGTTGGCTAAGATCCTAACTCTATTTACTTAAGGACTAATTGTATCAAATTTGCAGATTATCCATATTCTTTATTTCTCTTCCATTTTCTTTCAGGTTGCTCTTTAAACTACCAGGTTTTCTTTTTGTACTATTCAGGGAAAGCCAGAATGCATAATCAACATTTCATTAACATCTCCCAACAAGAAAAACATTCAGTCAGATATCACAGAATTATTTGTGGATAAATAATTAGTATAATCCATGAACTCAGGGGTACTGAATAATAAAAATCCGACATTTGGTACTAAGTTTCCCCAAAAGTACTTTCCTAGTACATCAACTGATTCATCCAATTCTGTGGCTAGAGGAGATTAACACTCAGCAATAATTCAGGGTTACTGCTCCCTCTTTTCAGATATCCATGCCTGCTAACTAATTTACTTCTGAAATTTGCAAAGAGCATAAACGTGTAGGGAACTTCATGTCTCAGTGCAGTCAGTTCACTTACGAAGTTCTTATCTTTTGGAGTTTAGAAATGGTCCCTTGATTCCCCCCTTGGACTGCCTTTTGTTCTGACCAACCCATTCTTGGTGGGCTGTGCAGGGCCAGGGAAAGGGCAGAGGCAAGGATGAGTTAACAGGACTCCTTTTCAGGCACAATTCTCATAAACATGTCTGATGTGGGTAGACTAATCAAAGGCTAAGACAAAGTTAAGAAAAATTAATTGACTAGTGAGCATGGAGACATATTTTAAAAAGAAAATTATAAGAAGATAGTACATATTATCAACTTTGAAAATCACATTCCACACCCTCTTCCTGAGCTTCAGGACAATGGAAAGCAACTCAGTGTAGTCAATGACAGAGCATTAAAAGGATGTTAGTGGCTAATGATATTGCTTAGGTATCAAAAGGAATTATACAGAAGGAAACTGAAAGAGTAATTAAATGATCAGGAGCATTCTTAAAATTTAACAACATGGGTTTTTATCTTTAGAAAAAAAATAAAACTATAGTAGGGTACTTCAAAAAATTAGGAACTTTTAACCAAAATGAAGCATGCTATTAAGAACGTTTACCTTAAGAACATTTTCCCTTTTAAGATGTATTTCTAAGACATATAAATGTATAATATAGCTGAAGAAAATATTTTCTTTCAAATAGATCTTTAGCTTTAGGCAAATCAAAGGTTTTAAAATGCTATTTTCTTTAAAGACCTTCCTTACATATAACTGTTTGGGATATAAAATGAAGACATCATATTTTGAAAAATGGTGCCAGTCAAAATTTGTTAGGTCCTTTAAGTCTCAACCCTATAAAAAGAAGAAAATTAAGACTTTGCCTTAGAGATTTGATGAATCTTTTTTCTTGGTAAATCTATGCCTAATAAATCCTGTGAAACAATTAGGAGAAAGTAGAAATTCACTCCTGTAGCCTTTAGTTCTTTATAGAATGTGTATATGATAGTAAATAATCTGCAGGAATGCCAACCAATTACTACTTTATTATTTAACTGATCAAGCAAATAGAAAGATGACTACTAAACATAACACACTAAATATCAAAACTGTGTTTATCTCAGGAATGTACAGCCTAAATAAAAACAGTCCTTTACAAAGGCAGTTGCATTAAATGGGGTGGATTTTCTAACAGGCTATCCTACATGACAACCTACGTCAAATGATACAAATCTGAACATCTGTATTTTTAATTTGGTGATCATGTCAATCAGGACAACTACCATATTAAACGCACTTGCACAGTATTCTAACATAAAGATTAACACCTATCACAAACTAGCTAAATAAGTGGAAAACCTTATCAAGCTACCTTCTAATAGGAAGACTGCTTGCTTGCGAAAAATTTTCACCAGTGTGTCATCCAATTCAATTTCCTGAAGCTTAGAAATGAGCTGTTCCTCGTTCCGGCAAACTTTCTCTTGTGTGTACAGCCCATCAGGCATGATGCGCTGCTGCCCCAGACCTATCAGAGCTACTTCCACAGCCAGTGTCACATAGGATTCTCCTTCTTCTAAGAACTTGTGTGCAGGGAGATGCTGGTATTCCAGAGACTTGCACTGTCCCATATTTTCTGTAAAATGTCATAAAAGAAATCAGAATTAAACAACTTTCGCAGGAATTTTAACAGGTATAAACATTTGCTCCAACTACTACTAAAAAATGAATTCCTGACTTAATTCCAAAAAAGCCAGAAAACAATTCATAGGTTAAAGTGATAGTCTTCCAATATCTTTTTAAAAGTGACTATGAGTGATTAAATGTACATGTTTTCTGGGATGGAATGTTAGAAATACTCTTTATCATTGAAAATGAGTCACCAAAGAAAACTATAAATCCAAGAAAGTATGATACTAAGAATCCCTAAGAGTGAAAAAAGATTTTAAACAAAAGTAAAATTACATGCTATGAAAGTCATAATTAATTTTTTTGTATAATTAATATATGCTAATAAAAAAGGTTAGCTTTAAAATTACATGATTATAATAGTTACTAATTTTTTAAGAAAAGCATTAAAAAGTTTATATACTGTAATTATCATGTTGAAATTTATAATGAAAACATTAGAGAACATAACATAGACAACTCAATTTCAAAGTTCTTTTTGTTCAAGAATCATCAGTTATCACCAGAGGAACAATTCTTTGAGCATTCTCTTGTCTCTGTTAAGGTGCCTCTATTAGAAATTGTAACAAGTTTCAATCATCCAACTCTCAGGAAAAGTGAATTCAGACTCACACCTTTTATCCTCCTGGCAGAGTCTGAGCCACACTGAATCCATGGAGATAACCACCCCAAGGGAAATTATGATGGACAAAATAATTAGCCTCCTGATTTCACCCAGCCATGGAAGTAAAAAGGAGACAATTCTTAGTCCCTTGCTTGTCACACCCACTACCCTTAGGCAGTTTTTGGAGGGATGATTCTGAATTTTCAAGGGGCCAAAGAGAAATCTCTAAACACCACTTGAAAGGAATTGTGATGTAAACAGATTTAAATGGCATTTAATATTCCTTTAAAAAAATCATGTCACTTTTAATGTAAAGACACACTAAAAAAAGCAATGAAACTAAAATTCCTAAATGCTATGATGTACATCCTTCATTTTTTATCTTTATGTTGAGAAATAGTCAAAAATGCAGATAAACTCTTAGATGCAGAATCACTGGTCCTGAAAAGCAGGAAAGTATCCATTTCTTAGCTCTCTTGCTAATCATATAAACTGTTAACTATGTGGCTTCATAAAACATACTGTACAGAAAATCAAAGACAAATGGCACCAGACAAATCTGAAAAGCTTTACCTGTAAAATCTGAGAACCCAGAGAAGTTTTCATCATCATTGTGGCAGGCTTCCATGAGGCTACTGAACAGAGTACCCACAGGGTCTAGTGGATGTCCAACCCAGCCTTCCAGATTGGTTATTGAGGTTATACTTTTATGGGGCAGCTCTGTGTGAAGAAAGGAATTGGGAGATGTGGAGCAGAAGGGAGAAAAGTAGGGGTAGGGCAGGCTCTACCACTTAATAGCAGCGTCCCGACAAGTTAGTAATGAATTCAGATAGAAATGTCCCTTTAATTAAAATAAACTGATCCAAAGGTACATAATCCCCAACTCACTGAACTATTTTGAGTTCCAGAGGTTCATCTGTAAATCAGAATAAATGTTATTAAATTCCCTGGATAGTTCCCAAACATCTACTTAATTCACATGTTTAACATAATGACCTCACATTACTATTCACACTATTAAGTCATACTGTATGAGGAAAAAATGAATTCCGCTGGATAACTGTGCAACCATATAATGAAGCCACCTCTATGAGTCAGCACTCACTGAGTCACCTAAAGTAAGGACTTGAGAGCAACTATAGCATGGGCTAGTCTTGGACTAAATTGGCTTCCTATCACTTTTTAGCAATCTTCTTTACTATAGATCTTTAAGTCATTTAAGAGAGGACTTTGGCTATAAGAGATGAACAACAGCAGAAGATAACATATATTTGGAAGAAACATATTTTAGTTTTCTTCACAGAATGTTAGAACTTTCAAGTTATATTATGGAGTACTCAGAAAAAAAGCTGTAAGTATTTAAGACATATTCTATTGTTGTAGAATTCTTGTATCTAAGCATTCCCTAAAATAATAATAGTAGCTCCTTCTTAAAGAAAATATAACAAAATCTATATGTGTAAGAAAAAATATAGAAAAATTAACATATATAGCCAAAGAGTCACACCATGAATTCAACACTTCTTTAGAAGTTCTCTTGTTTTGAATTACTATCAGTATATAAAGATGAAAAATGGCTTGGCATGATAGGCAAAATTTACTAAGTTTGGTGCTAGGTTCCTTGGAAAAATCCTTTCCTTTGGTTTCTGCCATTGGCTTTCATAGACACAACTAGCATGAACAAAAACCATGAGTACTCTTGGGAATAGCCAAATATGTATGTTTGGTTAAAAATGGGGGGGAGGAGTGTGTGAGAGTGTGTGTGTGTGTGTATAAATATGTCTAAAGGAAGTATTATGGATATACTAACGAATCTATTATCAAGTGATAGAAACTGAGGCAATGGAAGAAATAAATCACAAGTGGGAGGATAGTTTTTCCCTGCAGAATCAAGCTAACAAATCACGCTAACTAGTAATGAAAATGTTGAGACATTACATTTACTAATCTTGATCCGTGAATAAGTAACTGCTGTGGCACTTTGGACTTAACACAGCTATGAAAAATGTGGTCTTAAATATGGACAAACAATAACAAAGAATCAGAGAAAGTTATAAGTATAGAGATACAACCCTAGTAATACTTAACAAGAGTCAAAAATAAAAGTTTTCTTTTGTTGTAGGGTAAAAGAGAAATGGATCTGAAGAATGGCCTGGACTTGGGCCATAGGAAGTAAAAGATAATCATAGTAGTCTAGTCTTAACATGCATTCTAACTTACCTAAATGAAGTAACATTTTTATACTTTGTATTTCTTAGGTACCACATTTTAATCAAACAAATTTTAAAAACCAACATTTCTTAACAAAATTTGTGATATATTTTTAAAAAATCAGATGATCATCATGAGATAGTTCTTTTTACATTATAAAATGTGCCTGAATGCTACCCTTTATACTATTCTTTGGTCAAAATCTGTGTGTGTGTTTAGGGGAAGAAGGATTTCAGAAAAGTTTTCTACAGGGTCTAGCAATGCATCTCACAAATACCAGTGATGATGTGAAGAACATGAAGAACTGAACAATGTAATCACATACCAAGGCTATTTACATTCCAATCCCATTTGAACTTCCCTTTCTTTGGTTTAAAATATAACTCTGAAAGTTTTTCACCTCATAAATGACAGTGCTATAGTTAACATTCATAATACTTCCAGTAAAGAGGACATTAAAAGTGACAAACACTTGCTCCAACTTCCTGCCTATTTCAACAACTTTTAATAATTTGGTTGTATTGAAGGTGTGTGTATAATCACCAAAGGACTAAAAATAAAAACATAATCAAGAAAAAAAGTGCAACAGTAAGTGCAATTATTCTTAGTAAAAAATTAAATTCCAGAGTAAAAACAAAACAAACTAACCAAAGAGACACAAAAATAAAATTTATATCTATGTAAGGAACAAGATGTAGACAAGGCATATACACTTCATTATTGGATCAGGGCCTTCGTGATATAGTATCAGCCTTTGTGATTACTATTATGGTGCTTATTCAAAATTTAAAAGACTAATAAACTGAGATAAAAAGAAGTCAAATGTATCCTGTCATTTAAAGACTTGTCAAATGTCATTTACAGTTCTTGAAAAATCCAGAAATTCTGTTCTGGTTATTTTAAATAAATAACATGTCCTGATGTATAAATTATTGCAACTACAAGTTTATGAGTGCTTACACATTATGACAGGCCTTGTGTTAAGTATTTCATGGAAATTAACTACTTTGATCTCAGTATCTCTAAGAGATAGGTCCTCTACTGAGCCCTATTCTAACAAAGAGTGGTCTACTTTTTTTTGGCAGTTCTGGGGTTTGAACTGGGGGTCTTGTGCTCCCACCCTCAGAAGAGGGATCTAAATCATAAAGAACTCAAGTCATTGCCTAAAGTTGCCTGGCCTACATCTATTGCTGGGATTCAGGCATAGGCAGTCTATCCCTAGAATCCTTACTGTTAGAATTAAAGTACACTTATACAAATAAGTTATTTGACTTTCATCTTAGATGATCCAGACATACTAATTACTCAAACAATAAAAGAATATCCTTCTTAAAGTTATCTAAAAGGGATGAGCCAAACCAGGGTATATTATATGCATATATGGAAATGTTACAATGAAACTCCCTGTACAACTATTAAAAACTAATAAAAATGTTTCAAAATTATATGAGATTTTTATAAAAATCTTTTCTTACAATATTCAACCAGGAAAAAAAAAAAGACTTAAAATTTCTTACTGACCAGTTATCAAGTATTTTTAAAAGTGGAGAGAAAGCTATTTCTTGGCTCTAGTTTTAAAACCATCTCTCCCAGCAGAACATAAAAACCTAGTTATGTTATGGAAAATCCCACTCCAATGGAAACAAACTCCTTCACATTCACCTTTTTTCTGAGTCCGGAACATTTCCAACTGTTTCTGTTGCTGTCGTCGTAACGTGTTAACAATGGCTATTGCTAGTCTCAGTGCTTCTCTGGGGTACCCATGAGAACGTAATGCATCCACTCTTGCGCAGGCTGTAGGAACATGTTCTAAACAGAAAACCAAGGAGGCAAAGTTGCCACTGTCAGATAAATCTATAAAAATGATTTAATATTAAGATGCTTCTCCCAAAATACTTTAAAAAAGACACAAGGAACCATTTCTGTACATGCATTTGAATGAAAAACTCAGCTCCCATTGCCAAGCATTCATCCATCTCCCATTGAATCCCTCAATTCTCTACCTCCCACTTCCATAATGCTATAGAAACTAAACAAAGAAGTAAGTCATGGAAATGTCTTTCCGGTTTGGCCACTTACCATGCCAGAGGGGCCACCCGCGGGAGTCAAAGAGGGAGTTTTCAGTGTCGTCATGGTAACAGTAGTTGGTGTACAGGTCACTGCTGATAATGTGCTGCAAGTGGCTATCTTGCCAGTGGAGATCACATGCCTCGATGGCTCGTGTGAACACTGTCCGATGTGGCCTGTTCGATGAATCTGTTTTTTCCACAATTCAGAAAGCCATGTCAGGTATTATTCACATGTGAATAAATCAGCCATACCATTCTGTAGCCAGATGTTCATGAACACAACCACACACACTGTCCTACAACCCCAAGAAGGGTGACGGGTGAATGAATAGTCTTACATCCTAAATGCTAGGAGGCAGTCAGCCCAAAGAGCCAACACTCACTCGCTTGTTTTACCAAACACAAACATTCTGCAGCCATTAAAGCTCAGGTTAAAGGCATCCTGCAAAAAGAACTGTCAAGTCTAGTTTCCATGCCAAATACACTCAAAAGAGGCACTCGGCAAAAATTCACATGAAAACTCACTGCTCCCCACTGCTGAGGTGCTGTGGTGGGCTGCGCCCGATGGGAATCAACAGCTCTCACAAACACTATGCAAGAGATGCGACACCAGCCATGGAACCTTTCAGGAAGATGCAGTCAGCCTTAAAAATATGCATAAGGGTTGTGCTTTTGGTTGTATTTTTTAACTATATTGTGCGGTTTTGCACAATTAAAACTATTATGCTTCTTGGGATATAATGATTAAATGCCACTTTATATCCCAAAGGGCATAAATGCATATGTTTAACATTTCACAAAGCCACACAACATAGCTACAAAACAAACCAGCACTTACCTTGCCCCTACAGGCTGCCTCCTGACTCCTGGGCAGGTTCCATGACTGGTGTGATGTCCCCAGCATAATGTGTGCCGGGGCATCACAAAAGGAGAAGCATATACTCCGAAGAGGACTCAAGTTCAGGACCTGACAAAGAAAAGAAATGTTTGGGGAATAAAGGATATTCTCACCTCATCTCCTGGGATTGTTCAATTCCTAGAATCTATCTGCACTCCCACCCCTTGGGTCTCTACTCCAGACTTACCTCCAACCATGGAACAAAACTTAACAGGCCTCCTTTGAAAATCAGAGTAATGAACTGTTTTCATTTATGTGTACTTAACATAGCCTCACTGTTCTGAGATTAGATTTTAAGAAGCAAAATCTGGAGCTTCCTTAATGATAAGGTTTCTCCTTCCTATCTCTAACCCTTTAGCTGAGTACAGAAGACAACACAAACATTAAATAACAACTGGAAGAGGAGATTAGAGAATTCATCTAGTTCAGACTATTTTGCTGGAACTGAACAGCATGGGAAGTAAAGTGACTTGCTAGGTCACACTGCCAGGTAATGGTAGGCAGGATCAAAACAGACACCCTTCCTACAAATTCCACTGTATCAGGTGTTTTGAAAACCTTTTAACAAGTCTTTAACAGAGATATTACTCTGGTCTGGTCTCAGGTCAACTTAGCTATCCATACATGAATGGCAGACATATCAAAACACATGGATGACAAGTAAAAGGCACAAATAATGATGGACCTGTTATGGACCCTGACTAGAATCCTTATTAGCAGTAAACAGATGTATACACTGCAAAATGGAAAGGGTGGGACCTACCTTTAATTGCCTTTTGAATTTATGAGGGCCTTTTACTGAGCAGAATAAATATGCCCATACTCAGGAAAAAAACTCACTCCATAACCTCTCACAATAAATCAAATGTCCTAAAGTCCAGGTCTCACATAAGTATTTTAAGTGGCTTTTGTTATTTCACTCATTTTGTTTAGCTCAAATAATAGAAATACAATTTATAACTAAAAAATGCCCTTTAAAACAGTAACTCAGAATTCTGCATGTACTAAAAGAATGAGTAAGTTCTATGTGTTGAAAATTAAGGCTATAAAGTCCTACCGTAACATAAGAAACATAAAAATTATGTAAAAATATAAGGATTAAAAAGTTGTATAATTGAGAGGGTAGGCATAGTGGCTCAAATCTATAATCTCAGCTACTCAGAAGGGCAAGATTGGGAGGATCATGGTTCAATGCCAGTCCAGGCAAAAAAGTTAGCAAGACACCATCTCAACAAAAGAACTAAACACAGTGACACATTACTTGTAATGCCAGCTATGTGGGAGGTCTAGGTAGAATTATCAGGGTCCAGGCCAGCCACAGGCAAAAAGCATGAGACTGTATCTGAAAAATAACAAAGAGCTGGGGGCGTTGGCTCAAGAAGCAGAGCAGCTGTCTAGCAAGTGGAAGGCCCTGAGTTCAAACTCTAGTATTGCCTCTCCCCTGCAAAAAAAGTACAACTGAAAACCTGGCTTAATTAAGTATTGAAATCATGGTCGATTTTTATCTTGGATGCTTAGTTATTCAATTTTTGTAGTAAGAATGAAAAAAAGAGAAATACACTATATTGATCAAATTTTTTGAATGATAAATACACAATTTGTAAGAATTTTTTAAATAAAGTATATGCAGCATTGAACTTGGAAATTTTAGAAAAGTAAAAAGGAGGAAATTCATAGCTTTTTACAAAATATTAAAGATAAAAAACTAGCTGCCATTTGTTATGTTAAAAAAATCTATGCAAAGTGCATAGATTTTTAATATTGTTAAATTCCAACAAATTACCCCAGCAGAGGCATGGTCTCATAAGTCCTTCACCACTCACTCTAATGTGCAAATGCATGAAATGCTGCAAATGGTCTGGCTGAATAGAGTCCAGTTGCAATGGGCTGGCTACTGGATTTTGGGGTCCCAGTAGGTTCTCCCCTAGAGGGGAGAGCAATGCAGGGGTATAGCCAGTATGAATACCAGCAAACTCTGAAGGGATAATCTTTTCTGACAGCCTCAGGAGGCTGTGGGTGTTCTTCTAAAAACCTGGTGCCGTTAGGCACGGTAGCCACGAATTACTGACTTTGGAAATTAGAACCTAACTTTATACTACCCAGCCCAAACCATAAGAGAAATGAACTGTGGTATCTGGAGGCTGAATCACTTCTTACCAGCTTTCTAAGGCCTGTAGAATATTTGTATTTAAACAAGGATAACATAATAAATAGAAAATAAAAAGTGTAAGATACCAGAGTGGTAGTCCCGAAAAAGCAGCAGGAAATGAAATACAGAAAGCCTCAAAGGATAAAAATAGGAGATTAAAAATATTGCCTATGTAGATATTAGCAAACCCTTCCCTAGCAATGAAGAGAATAAACGTTGGAACAGTTAAACTTGAAAATCCTGAGTATCTAGGAAAAAAAAAAGGCTTATGAGGGATACATTTATTTTCTTTGATGTTATTAAATAAAATCATCATGAGCGATAAAGATAGGATGGATTTCAAATACTGAATTCCCAAGGCAAGTATCTGAAGACAAAGCAGAGCCAGACAGTCCTCTTTCCCAAGTCCTAAAACTTCTGTTTGATTGAACAAGTCCCTTTGTAGGAATACACAGACAAATATATATCATCTTCATACTTTGTAGAGGCTGAAAACATTCTGCTAACCTCATATTCAAACTGAGCACACTGTACAGCTCTTTTTACTAAGACCAACTCCTTACATGGCCAATACACAGAGAATGAATGATATCAACTTGATTTTGGATCCTTTTAGTGTCATTTAATTTCTACTTTGTTTCTAAAATGACTTTAAATTAATTTTGCTCTAGTTTTCCTCCACTCCCCAAAAGGAGGCACAAAATCATGCATAAGTAGTGTTATGAATTAGTGAATGAAACTTATTTGCAAGAGTTAACTAGTTCAGAATTTGGTTCTGAAAGAGAAAATTCTGCAGCAGAAAGAGAAGGAAATGAGGCCAAGAAAGACTTAAGATCGGGGAGATTGAGTGGAATGGATGAATCCAACAGAAAAGTAGAGGCTGATAAAAAAAGAGGACAGAAATGATAAGACAGAGGTTCTTCTGGAAACATGTGGGAGCGTTTTTTTGGTTGTCTCAGAGACTGAAGGGTACAATTAGCCTATAGTAGGTGAGGACAAGTAAGCTAGGCAATCCTTATTAATGAAAAAATTTCCCAGTCCAAATGCCAATAGCCTCCCATGCCCCTCAGTTTAGTCATAAATGTTTCCTTGCTATATCCTAAAAGAAGTTTTACTAATTACACAGCAGCTCAGTATGAATTGACTAACAGGGATAAAAACACATAGCTCCTCAAGTCTCAATATTTGTTTTACAAAGTAATATGTTACCACCCTATTCCATAATTTTTAATTTAAAAAAGAAAATCCAAATGAAATTATTAATGGACCATTTTAACACATGCTAGTATATGTAAAGTATTATATCTATCTTTAAAAAAGCATACAAAACTCTCAGTTACAATTAAAACACATGCACATATCACAACCAAAAATCCTTGAGTTACAGCAAGTTTTGAAGTGGGAAAAAACCATTTCCCCACCTAAATTGTAAGCTATCATTATAAACACATATGCTATAAAGACATAGATACAAATTGAGCAGAACATTACTAGGGACTCACCTTGGCTGGCATTTGCACCCTGAGGCAGAGCATTGGTTAAGTTGGGCAATTCGCTGCCATGATTTCCATCTTCCCATGGACAGACATCAACACTGTTCCATTTTTTCAGCTGTTTTAGCCAACTGGCCTTCTGCTCCAACTTGCAGTGGGGATTTAAAACTATACACATCCACAAAGCACCTAAAAGGGGAGAAAAAAGTTAACACTAATGCTAACACCTAAAGATAAATTCTAAATCACTTCAAGATTGATTCAAATCTGCCATTTTTACAACTCAATTCTTCCAATGTAAGCCACAAATCTAATATGGAATTTAACCAAAGATCCAAATATTGCTATATATAAAGATGAAATAATTTTCACAAATAATAATTATAATCACCTTCCTAAAAATTTAATAAATTGAACTATAAGATTCAACTTAAAAACAGATTCTATACATGGATACTGCAATTACACCATCTGAAATGGTTCTGCAGAAAAGTTAATTTACTTTGTAAGATTATCTTTTTGTAATAAATAAAGGCATACAATGAATACTAATCATTTCCTAGTCTCCTTATAAGAATGTGAAACTATATTATGTTCATTCATTAGTATCGCTATATATTGTATACCATAAATACACATATATATCAATGGAGTACAAATAGTTCTGAGTAAAAAAAGTCAGTAAAATAGATCTTTTAAAAATAAAATTTAAAGGCAGGCATGGTGGTGCACACCTGCAACCCCAGCAGAAGCAGGAGGATTGGAAGTTTGAGGCCAAACTGGGCTACACAATGAGACCATGTCTCAAAAAATAATAATAACTGTGAATTTTTTATTTGATGCCATATCAATAAATTACAGTAGAATCTCAAATCTTATTAAGAAACTGTTAAAATATATTGGTCTATGACAGGTAATGACAAAATTATGTTATATGCATTTATGAAAATGTCATACATAATTAAATCCACTTTTGTACAATATATGCTAATAAAATTAAAATCAATAAATTAATTAAATAAAATTCACTTAAACATACTTTCCTAAACAATTTAACCAGGAAATAATCCTTACATTATGAAATCACTAAATGTAGGTCTATCTATGAGTAAATATTAATCAAAATTTCACTAATTTTTCAAAGGAAAATCAATAATGAATTTAGAATGAATAACTCATAGTTTGAATACTTAAAATAGTAATTTTATTACTCCTTTCTACATTGTTGAAAGGAATTAACTCAACCAAATATTTCACAAGTTTTAAAAATTCAACTTTTATTTTGCTAATTTTAAAACAAGATGATAGTAGTACTCTAAAACTGTTCAAAAAAACTTTTCTTTGGAAAGGTACTTGTGTATGTGTGTTTTAATCAATTTGTGTTACCAAAGTTAATAAGAAAGGTAGGAATGAACATTGTTATATTTTATTTGTTCAAAAGAAATGCTTTACAGTCTTTCATATTTACAGCATCTGCTGTTTTACTTTATGTTGATAAAAATTGAAGTAAAAATGGCCACAACCTATCTGAGCTACAGATAATTACAATTGACATTCCTATATTTTATTGCCAATGAACACGAAACATGGTCAGTCAAGACAGAATAAGCCCACCACAGCCTCTCTCTCTTCCAATGATTATAACTAAAAACTCTGATGAAAAACAAAAATCAATAATCCAAAGATTCTGAGAAATAAACAAGAGCAAGCAGACGAGGGAGGGGAAATGAAATTTGAAGAAGTAACCCATGTGGTGTGATTTTCTGTTACTTTCTCCCTTCTTTTTTTTCCTCTTGGCTTTGACATAAGATTAACCCCATTAAGGGAACTTTGTTGAGAGCAGATGCAGCCAAAACTTAAGAATAACCTCATTTACCTATTGTAAAGACTTGGAAAAGGGAACCCCAATCCAGCAACGGAGATAGGGAATTTCTCAAGTCCTGTCACAGTTCATGTGCAGGAGACAAAAACTAAGGCAGCATAGCCAAGACTTTGAAAGATGACATTGAAACCATCACCCAAACACAGCAAAACAAGTTATGGTTTGAATCTACCACTCTGGTTGATTGCTTGTTTTTAGCCATCATATTTTTTTTCAATCTCAGAGGATTTTAACAGAACTCTGACTTTCATAATACAATATTCAAAAATGTCCAGGGTCTAAAATTACTTGGCTTACAAAGAAACAGGAAAATGTGACTTATTCTCAAGAGAAAAATCAACAGATGCCAAGAAGATGAACAAGATGTTAAAATTACCAGAGATTTTATAGTGACTATTAAAAGCATTTCATGAGGTGAAGGTAAACACTAGTGAAAAGAATAAAAAGGCAGTTTTCAGAAGTAAAACACAAACTATTAAAAAGAATTCTTTAGAATTAAAAGTAAAACAAAAACAAAAACAAAAACAGTATGTGAAAGAAAAAAAATGTACTGCATGGGATCAATACCAGAATGAACATGACAAAGGGAAAAGTCAGTGAACTTGAATATGGAAATGATCTCATCTGTTATTACAGAAAAATATCTAGATGACATTAAACAGAGCCTTAAAAACAGGTGGGGAAATATCAAAAGGTTTATTAACATTTTGTATTACTGGATTCCTAGAAGAAGATGAGAAATAAAAAACATTATGAATAATGACTGGTTCTCAAATTTAGAGAATGCTATCAACTTACAGATCCCAGAATCTTAATCTTAAAAAGGGTAATCTCAAAGAAAACCATGCACAAATATGCCATAATTAAGCCACTAAAAAGCAAAGATAAAAAAAAACATCTTGAGAAATGGAAAATAAAATACCTCAAATAGAACAGTAACTCAAACAATTACAGATTTCTCACTGGAAACCATAGAGGACAGAATACAAAGGAATGTTATCTTAAAAGTGTTAAAAGAAACTGAGGTGTAAACCCAAAATTCTATTATCAGTGAAAATGTCACTGAATGATGGTGATATAAGGACATTCTTAGATTAGGGAAAATATACAGTATTTATTGTCCAAAGATCTATTCCAGAATAAATGCTAAATGAAGTTCTTCAGACTAAAGAAGAAGCAAAGATGGAACTTCAGGAATAAGGGAAGAGAAACAGAAATGATAAATATGAGTAAATCAGACTATTTTTGCCTTGTTAAGATCTCTGAATATAAGTATGAATCTTAAAAACAAAAATTTAAACACTGTCTTATGAAGTTTTAAATGCATATACATGTAATGCCCCTAACAACTACAACACAAAAGAGGGAAAGTAAAGGGATCTGTAAGATTGTTAGTTTCAACATCCCACTTAACACAGTAAAATGTTAACTCAAAGTAGACTATCAAAACTGAGGTACGCTTATGGTAAATATCACTTCCAAAATGCTACAAGATACAAAGTTCAACAGAAGTTAAATTAAATAAAAATGAAATACTTGAAAATGTGTAAATAATCCAAGAGAGTAGGAGACAGGGAACCAGAAACAGAGGGAAGGGATAAACAGAAAATAAATAATTAAATGGGAAACCTAAATTCAACCACATTGATCATCTTATAAAGTCTAAGTGGTCTAAACATACCAATTAAAAGAGGTAATCAAATAAAATTAAAAACCAAGAACCAACTTTATACTGTGTATAAGAAATCCACTATAAATATGATAGTAGATTAAAAATAAAAGGATGAAAACAAACATACCACAAGAACAGTACAAAATAAAGCTGAAGTGTATATACTAGTATTACACAATATAGACTTGAGAACAAGGGGACATTGCATAATAATAAATTTCCTCCCAAAAGATATAAATACTCCTAAATGAGTATGCTGTGCTTAAAAAAGGCTATTTTTAAATACATGAAACAAAGTGAGTAGAACTGAAAAGAAAAACCAGACAAAACTACAGTTATATCTGGAGACTTCAATATGCTTTTCTCAGTAACAAGTGGACAATTAGCAAATACCTGAACAATACTAACAGCCAACTTAACCAAGCTGGTATTTTTGGAACATATTACCTCACATTAGCAGAAGAAAACAGATAAACATAAACTTACAATTTAAAAATTCTCAAAAATAATCACTAAGAGAGTCTATATATTCTGGTCTATAAAACAAACTTGACACATTTAATAGACTGGAAATCAAAGTACACTCTGACATAATAGAATTAACTTACAAATCAAGTAATAAAAAGATCAGGAGCACCCCCAAATATCTCGAACATAAATACACTTCTAATACTTACAAATAAGTCAGTCACAAGGGAAATCAGAAACTATTATGTACTGAATGAAAATGAAAATGTATTAAAATTTGTGGTATACAGGCAAAAAGGTGTTTAGAAGGATATTTATAGCGTTAAACACTTATTAAGAAAAGGTTCAAATCAAAAATGCAAATATCCACCTTAAAATAAAGGAGAACGAGAAACCAAATCTGAAGAAAACAACTAAAGTATCAGATACCAATGAGAAAGAAAACAGACAGGGGAAAAAAGTGAATAAAATTGAAAGTTGTTCTTTAAAAATGATCAATAAAATCAATAAAGCTAACCAAATTGACTGAGGAAAAGAGAAGACACAAGCTACCAGGATCAGGAATAAAAGAAGGTACACTATTACAGATCTTAGAGGTATTATAAGGTCTACAATGAAATTATGTATATTATTATAATATAATAGCTGCAGGTGTTATAAGACTCACGATGGACTACTATGAACAATTTTAGGACCATAAATTCTACAACTGAAATAAAATGGAAAAATTTCTTGAAAGAATGAATTTCCAAAGCTCACTTAGGAAAAAATAACCGGAAGTCATATATTAAAGAAATTAATTTTCAGTTGAAAATTTCTATAAGAACACAGGTCTAGATGTTTTCCAGGAAAAGTCTACCAAATATTTAAGAAAGAAATAATACCAATTCTACGCAGTATCTTCTAGAAAATAGGAGTCAATGTGCCCAACCTTATTTTATGAGGCCAGTATTACAAATAACTATAACATTGTGGTGAAAAAAAAATTCTTCAAAAACTATTAGCACATCTAATTAAGCAGTATCAAAAAAGGTAAATACACCACAATCACATAGGGCATATCTCAGGAATGCAAGGCTAGTTCAATATTCAAAAATTAGTCTAATCATATTAACAGACTAAGGAAGAAAATCCATATAATCATCTCGATAAATGCAGGTAAAAGCA